AGCGGGAGCTCATGTCAATAGATATAAACAATTCACCAAAATTCCTTGCAAGTTGGTGAAAGCATTCTTGAGTTATTGTCGGAAAACTGGAAAATTCCCCCTTTTTTAATGAATAAGACCCCAAAACTCGGAAACGGTAAATCTGAAGTTTATAAAAAACGAAAGGGAGCTCACGTCATTAGATTGAAACAATTCACTAAAGTTTCATGCATATTGGTAAAAGCTTTTTTGAGTTAATGTCCGACATGTTGACGACGGACGGATTGGCAGAAGGACGGACGGACGGTCAACGGTATACCAATAATACGTCCCGTAAACGGGCGTATAAAAATAGTTGACCTATTGCTTTTAGTGCTTGAAAAACTGACCAAAACACAAAAACGTTGAACAATGAACCTTGAGAACGAGGTCAAGGTCAGTTGATACCTGCCAGACAGTCATATACACCTTACAATCATTCTATACACCAAATATAGTTGACCTATTGCTTAAAGTACTTTAAAAATAGACCAAAACATAAAAACTTAATATTGACCAATGTACAATGAAAATGAGGTCAAGGTCAGATGAAACCTGCCAGACTGACATGTACCCATTACAGTCATTCCATTCACCACATATAGTTATCGACGCATGAAATTAATATAACGTGCTGTTTTCATTTTTTATCCTACTGCTTATAGTATTTGAGAAACGGACCTAATCATGTAACTTTAACCTTGATCACTGATCCATGAAATGAGACCGAGGTCAGGTGAATCCTGTCTGACGGACATGTTGACGCTGCAAAGAACCCATATACTAAATATAGTTATCCTTTTACTCATAATAAGTGAGAAATTGACATTACAAAAAAAATCTATTTTTTTCAAGCAGTCGCTGAACCATGAAAATGAGGGCATGGTAGGCGAGTGACTTATTTCAAAAAGACGCTTAGTTAACGACTTTAATGCACCCACCTAACACACGGCTGTATTATATATCATTCGAAAGCTAATAATCTGTACTTTTTGTTTTGTCCGGTCGTAAAAAAATCGTACGGTGCATTTTCTGTTAAATCAAGGTCAAAGGTCATGAAAAAAACATTCCAATTTTTGCGATTACTAAACAAAAAGCCATTTTCTAATTCTTGTACCATAAAATTTTTTCAAAAGATCATATGAACTTTATATAACATAATACATTATTTCCAAATCAAACAAAAAATAAGAGGTTATATGCGCAATATTTCCCGAAAATTGAAATTCATCACAAATCTTAAAAAAATGTAAATTGTTCCAAAAGCAAAATATATCTTGGGGGATCGATATTTGTATTCTAAAAAAATAGATAAATAATATGTTTTAGGTCAAGGAATATTTGTTTTGTAGTTTTAAGATGCAAATATTAATTATTGTTCATAGAACAGCCTTCTATTGAAGTGTTTGCAGTTGCCCAAAAATCTGCCATCTGCAAATAGCGATCATTTTGTTATTCTATGTTAAGATAGCACATCGCTAATTGTCAATATCAGGGAGGAGAATGATTTTCCATAATAAAAGAAGGGATATTTAAAGTTCGAAAAGAATATATACGAGCTAATTGAGGTAAAAATATGTTTTTTACGAAGTCAAACTTAATATTTATTTTTTTTAATCATGTTTAAATGCAAACATGACTTTGCGACTAAATCGTAGGCAACATTGAAATAAGTAACCTTGTTTAGAAACACTTGGTTGTCTAAAGCGGGATGTAAACGAACAACATATAATGCTGCTGCTTCTTATTTAGTTTAAAATCGTGTTACACATATAAAATGTGTTTAGAAGTTTAATCTCTTTAATTATTTGAATAAAAGATGCTTCTATATATCTTTATTCTCACAAACCAAATTTCAAAGGTATAGAGATAGGATTGAGTATATTCAACATAAGCTTTTAAAATACAAATGCAGGTCATTGTGTATGTAAAACACTATAAGCAGTTGTGAAATAAAAAAATGAAAAAGTTGAATACCTTCTTGACCTCATAAAATCATTCGCTGTTTTAGGCAGTGATCGTTTCCATGCTGTGCTGTGTTTTGTTGACTGTTGTTCGTCTCTTGGACTTTAACTTTATTTTGTTCATGGCTTTAATTAAGTTTATTTGATTCATGGTTTGAGATGTTGATTGTCCCTTTGGTATTATTTCACTTTAAAGATATTAACTTGCAGTAATGAAAATCGGCAAAAAATCGCCTCAAAGTAAAGTGAAGAAGATTAACGCAATAAGACAAATATCCGCGAAAATAACTTAATTTGCTCACGGTGATATATATATAGAACCAAATCGTTATCAAGGGACATCAAACTCATAATTGAAAACGAACTGACAAAGCCGATCAAAAAACGAACAAGACAAGCAACAGTATACAAAACACAACATATAAAAGTACAGATTGAGTAACACAAACCCCCCAAAAATATTTGGGGTGAACTCAGGGGCTCCAAAAGGGTGAGCAGATCATGTTCCACATGTGACACCCGTCTTGTGGCTCGTGTAATTCCTACCTCGGTGCCAAGCCTTATTCGTAGGTGACATTCAAGGCAGAAATGACGGTATTTTGGTTACGTCGATTGGAACTTATCAGTCGTCATCTGGCAAAACAGATATTTCATAATTGTCAACCAACTCGTAGTGGCGTCCATAAAATTTTATAAGGGATGATTTCAACTTTGCATTTGAACTCTGGTTTAAAACCATGTTCAAACCACTATTTTTCTTCAAATGTCCTGTACCAAGTTAGGCATATGGCAGTTGGTATCGAATAATCTGTTTCTTTGTATGTTAATGTTTGGTTTTGTAGTAGTTCAGTGTTTCTGTTATTCCGTTGTGTTCCTCTTATAGTTGATGCGTTTCCCACGGTTTTGGTTTGTGACCCGGATTTGTTTCAGTTACTAGTAAATCGATTGATGACTATTGAATAGCGGTATACTATAGTTGCCTTTATTTAATATCTTCATTGTGAGCAGTTACGCACTATCAAGACAATCGTGAAAGTAAATGCAAGCTCTGGAATATTGTATCAACTTGGAGATATATACTCCACAAGAAGATGCCGCGAAATCGTGTTACAATTGGGCAAGTGTTTAAATAGAGTTTTATTTAATTTTGCGGGCAGTACGTCGACTGAGCATGCAAAGACAAATTTAGGAAATGCAAAACCCTACATTTATACGTCATATCATAAATATTCCGACTTATTGGAAATAATATTGTTTCAGAGGAGTTGAGGCTCAATGAAATCGGTCTCCTCCTTTAATAGTATAGATATGCAGGTGTTGCTATAATGTTGCTACATAGAAATGAAAAGTTTATAATTGGTTAGTAAGGAGTGTTTTTATTGGTTGATTTATATTCATCTCTTTTGTCGTAAAAATTGTTCTCAACCAACCCTCATCGTCGATTTCAAGATAAGTGGTAGAGTAAACTATATCTGTTGAGTCTTTTTTTTAATTTCAATGGAAAATACATTGTGACAAATTTGGCACTATTCAGCGAGATGACATCATCTATATAGTGGAAAGTGAAGTTTCAAGATAATTGTAGCTTCTTTTCAGTCGTCATCAGAAGCTCTTGCATGAAGTCATCCGCGTATGAAAAATAAACTAGTCATTCAAGCTATTCAGAAAGTCTAGTTGTAACTAGAAACGTTGCGTATTAATGGATTTTTTTCTTCAAAATTATTCTTATTTGATGAATTAATGCATTTAAACAATGAACAACGCAATTAAAGCAATCAAGAAGTCAAGTTTTATAATGTGTTTACTGGTTTTTAAATTCTTTTAAATTTCAATTTTCATCAATTTATTTTTTATTTATTTTTGTCTAAATTTTCAATTTATTTTTTATGGTTCACATTAAATAAATAAAAGGTCTTTTCACTACATCAATATTTATAATGATGCTACAAATCAAACAATTAGATGTTTATTTCAGTGTGGTAGTTACAATGCAGATTGCAATCTCTTAGTTTCGCCCCCTTTATTTCAAGCAATAGTATGATTCGCACACATATTTTTTTACTTAAAATTTTTCAGATTCTTAAGAATTTGTTTATTTAATCTTATATTGACTATGGCTATTGTTTACTGTACAATTTTATTCTGCATTCTAAGTTGAAAAAAACACCCAAGTCTAGTCTTTAAACGATCTTTCAAAATTAAAATAAAAACTTATGCATTTATATTCATCTTTATTATTAAGTGGGCGAAATCCCTATCATTGTTTGCTGTTTGACTAGAAGTAAGCATAATTTTAGGAAATTTATGATGTCAAAAACTTCTTTGATAGTTATTACAAGGTTTGACTTAGTTTTAAGTGATTAGCAGTTGCATCAGAAAGAAAAATTTGGGTTTTTACACATTTTGTTAACTTTTACTCGAATTTCAGGAAACATGTGCTGTCTATCAAAAACACGTTTTAAATATTTTAAAATGCATTTGATTAATGACCGTTAATCTCTCTGCTAAAAGTTTAAATGGTTTGCATATGTGAATTTAGTATATAAAAGTCATATTATGCAATCAAGCTGAAATCTTAGAAAATATGCACTTATTCGTCCTTAGACTTTGATCTTGATTTGACGGAAATTGCACCGTACGATTTTTTTACGACCGGGCAAAACAGATAGTACAGATGTGTAGCTTTCAAATGATATATAATTTAGCCGTGTCTTAGGTGGGTGCATTAAAAATTTTATTTTATGGTTAAAGTCACTCGCCTATGGGACAAATGACACTCGGAAACGTCGTAACATAAGGTATCTGCATACAAGATATGAAACATCCAGGTCTTCCACCTTCTGAAATATAAAGCTTTATACAAATATTTTACGCCGGCGCCTCCGCCGCCGGATAGTAATACCTATGTTTCGCATACTGCGACTTTCGTCGCAGGCGAGACAAAAACAATCACTAGGGCGTAATTATAAATACACACTATTCTTTCAGATACAAACAAGACAGAGCATATTTACTTACCAGTAACCGCAATAGGCCGTAATATGTTGTCGACCTTTACATCTTGATCGGAATCACTGATAACTTTCTCTTCAGACTGATTTCTTCGTATAAGTTGTCCATCCAGTTCCTGTACAATAATATTCCTAATGAGGTCAAAAGTGGAGTTTTGTTTCAGTGTTTCCTTAACAATGTTCTGTATTTGTTCTCTAAACGACACGTGTGTAATAACAACATTCACAAGTTCCTCATTTAATTCCTGTTTTGTTATGTTTCTGATAATGTCAGTTGTAGAATCTTCTGTCAAAGATTCCTCAATCATTTTTCCCATTAACGTTTTGATAAAGCTTTTTATCCTCATATTCATTGAAGATGTATCTAACATTGCTACCAGTGGTGCACCGCCATTATCTATTAATGGTATAGATAAAGGGTCTCCTTGTTTACTTTTAACTGTATCTATTTTAACTGCATTTCCTTCTACTCTCTCGTGAGCAAGCGAGAGGAATAGTAACACAAAACAGATATTCATGCTAAAAAGAAACCAGTGCGCTAGCTCTACTGACTATTGTTGGTTTGTCTTCAGAATGAATTTGAACTTTTAAGTGCTAGTTAAACGTGCTAGTTTTCATCTACAACGATCTTAAACATACTTTGTAATGATGTTTATCACATACAGACATTGGACCATTCTCAAAATGTCAATTACATAATATATTAAACACAAGAAGTTATGATGATATCTTTTCCTCATTATTATTATTAACATACTCCAGTGTAATTAACTGGTAACTGTTTGAATCGCTATTTGATGATGATTCTAATACAATAAAGATGGTTGTTCATCAAGTAAACAAGTTTTAGTCTTAACAAATCATCTGATAATTATAAACACTAAACATTATTACATAGTATGTAATATTGTCGCCTTCTAAAACAGCAGCAATTGTAATTGCATACAGCATTGTAACACGACTAATTCCATTTCCAATCTCTTATGCTACCAATAGCAATTACGTAAATAATGCAATTTGATGTTTTGTTTATGATTCCGGCTATTGTTTACTGTACAATTTTATTCTGCATTCTAAGTTGAAAAAAACACCCAAGTCTAGTCTTTAAACGATCTTTCAAAATTAAAATAAAAACTTATGCATTTATATTCATCTTTATTATCAAGTGGGCGAAATCCCCATCATTGTTCAGAAAATAAGGATTCCAAAAAATATGCATATGCGGAATGCATCATAACGCTGGAAGTTTTGATTGACAGCTTATTAGTTTGGTTAGAGGCAATACTATTTCAAGACAGTTGACATTCCTTTTTGAAATTTGTAAGAGCAAGAATTTAGTTTTAGTTATTTTTTTTAATTATTTTGACCTCGAGCATTCATGAAAGGACAATATTTAAAGAAATGCGAATCATGTACAAAAAGAATTGGTACAGTTCATGTCATCAACATTATACTGTAAATGTTGGTTAATTCATTCAATATTTGTACCGTTAATGTTGGTTCACTCATTCAATATTGGTACCATTAATGTTGATTCACTCATTCAATATTGGTACCATTAATGTTGATTCACTCATTCAACATTGGTACCATTAATGTTGGTTAACTCATCCAACATTGATACCTTTAATGTTAATAAACTCATTCAATATTAGTACCATTAATATTAGTTCACTCATTCAATATTGGTACTATTAATGTGTGATCGCTCATTCAATATTGATACCTTTAATGTTTGTTCGCTCATTCAATATTAGTACTATTAATATTTGTTCGCTCATTCAATAGAATTATAGTCATTTCGTACCCTAACCATTTCGTACCCTGACCATATCGTACCTCATGGAATATCTACATGTATACCATTTCGTACCTCATGGAAGTTTACATGTATGCCATTTCGTACCTCATGTAAGATTCATATGTATACCATTTCGTACCTCATGGAAGATATATATGTATGCCATTTCGTACCTCATGATAGATTTGTATGTATACCATTTCGTACCTTATGGAAGATTTGTATGTATGTATACCATTTTGTACCTCATAAAAGGTTCGTATGTATACCATTTTGTACCTCATGGAAGATTTGTATCCATACCATTTCGTACCTCATGGAAGATTTGTATGTACACCATTTCGTACCTCATGGAAAGTTTGTATTATACCATTTCGTGAGATATTATATAGGAATAAAGTCAATAAACGAACTTTTGTTTTAAATATGTAAAACTTTGTATTTAAGATATTTGTTTCAAATATTAGCTAGCGCTTTAGTAACAGTTCACATTTCTGCCAATAACATTGATTTTGTTACTTTGATGTAAACTTGTAACTGAAGACACGCGCTGTACTAGCGTATTGTTTTAAAAAGGTAGCATTCTATTTAATTGGATTAAAAATGTTTATTGAATACACGTGCCATTTGAAATTGCGACATGTGCCTAAATATTGAGATATATTCAATTGATTATCGTTAGGTGTATCTGAACTTAAATGTATATATCATATGCATGGACTTGTTTAGAAATAATACTTTTACAAAATATGTAATACACACTAAATAAAGATATCTACCAAAAGTTTTTTTTTAAATTCAGAAGGTTAGATATAAGGATACAAAATAAATGAACTTTTAATTTCTGAAATTGAAAAAAAAGTCATAGAAAGTTCTTTCATTGGTCACATAAGGTGCAAGTAGGTGCAAATTCTTTTGCAAACATTTTTATTCATGGCTTCCTTCTTGGATGAATATCAGCTTGTGTCCCTTTTCACTGCATTTCCTGACAAAAACAACTGTTAATAACTATAAAAACAGTTGTAGATATTCATTCCTTTGTTGGTTAATTAACCTCTTATTTTCAGAGTTCAAAATTTAATTAAGGATAAATCCTGCAAACAAACAACGTGTCATTAAAACTATTGTAGTTTCTAAGTGCTGCTTAATCAAATTAATCATCGGTCTTTATAAAATTTCTATTGGTACCGTTACGAAAATCTGCTACAGGAAAAGTTGCACGGTAGACGTAACGTTGCTGCCGTTAATGTTTTTTACTTAACACTGGTACCGTTTGTGTTTTTCACTCAATATCGGTACTGTTTATGTATTTTACTCAATATTGGTACGGTTAATATTTTCAATCAACATTGGTATCGTTAATGGTTTTTTTTTCACTCATAATTGGAACCTTTTATGTGCTAAACTTAACATTGGTACCGTTTACGTTTAACCTCAACATTTAGGTTCAGCTACACCTAACGATAATCAATTAACATTGGTACCATTAATGTTTTTGTTAAACATTGGTACTGTTTATGTATTTGACTCAACATTGATACCGTTAAATATTTTCAGTCAACATTGGTATCGTTTATGTTTTTCACTCGTAATTGGTACCGTTTATGTAAACCTCAACATTGTTACCATTAATGGTTTTTATTCAACATTGGTACCGTTTATATATTTGACTCAACATTGATACCGTTAATTTATTTCACTCGACATTTATACCGTTAATGTTTTTCACTCAACATTGATACTGTTTATGTGTCTCACTTAACATTGGTGCCGTTAATGTTTTTCACTTAAAATTGGTACCGTTAATTTTCCTTACTCAACATTGGTACCATTAATGTTTTTTAATCAACATTGGTACCGTTAATGTTTTTCAATTAAAATTGGTGCAGTTAATGTTCTTTTCTCAAAATTCGTACCATTATGTTTTTTGCTCAATATTGAAACCGTTAATTTCGGTTTTCCCAGAGCAGTTTTTTAATGAGTATGATACTTAGCAAACACGACGATTTCGGTTGTCATTTTCTAAACTTATTTTGTTTGTAACATACCAAAACGACTGCTTACACATTTTTTTCTACATCCTGCCTTTTTTTTTTAAACAAGAAGAAAAACATATTTGAAATTTTGAACAAATTTATAGCTAACTGAGTTTCTATTTGATTATTATAGTTTTCAAATTAAAAGGAAATAAAGAGCTTGCTACATGAGCCCGTGATACGCCCGTCGCTTTTTCACCAAATAATATTCTTTAACTCCTCAATGTCATATCAGAAATTTATATAAAAAAAAATAGAGGGAGCTTAATTTAATAGATATAAACCATTCACCAAAGCTTCATGAAAACTGCTCAAAGCATTTTTGAGTTATTGTCCGAAAACTGGAAAGACCCCCTTTCTTATGAATAAAGTCCCAATACTCCAAATGTAAATAAGAAATTTAAAAAAATCGAAAGGGGTTTAACATAAAACGTACTTTAAACAGGCGTTTAAAAATGAAAGGTGTTGTCTTGCTGCTCATTTATAAAGCTCGTCTCTATCTGAGGTATCAAGATAATAGGCAAAAATTAAAAAAATGGTAAAATTCGTCATTTAAGGGAAACAACCCCTTGAAAAAAGAACCTGACAATGTTCATAAATATTCCGTATGTAGAATATAAAATTCTGAACATTTTAGACCTGTCAAATTTCTCTATCTTCAACGGTTTTCAAGATAATAGACAAAACATGCATTTTACCCCTATGTACTATTTTGTTATCCATGTAGTCTATGTTGCTTGGCAGAAGGGATCATCATCAAGCGTTTTGTGTAAAAGGCACTTGAACAAAATATTAGTACTGACACAAATTAAGCATAACCAAATTATTGTGAAGAGAGAAACTAGGATATGTTTGTAATAGCAAAAATAATTTCTCCAGATTTCATCCCAGTGATATAAACAACCTACATTTTTAATGTTATTAAAAGTAAAATTGTTTGGTAACATAAAAGTAGCCGTTTTAAAAATTGGGTTCATCAGATATTTCCTTAATTGGAATGGAGGAATAACATTTGACACCAGAAATCAAATCATGAAATCATATTCTACCTAAATATGAGTTTTTTGTTGAATTCCAAGCAGTGCCAATTGCATCGATAAATGTATTATAACAGCCATTTTAAAAATGGCTATTCACCAAGAAATGTTGACATCACATGTTAATTTACAAAATCGTGCATGTTTACAGCAGATTCCATTGAGTGTGTAGCCAAAGGTAATATCTTTGGTTAGCTTGCTTGTTAGCTGAACCGTGAAGTCATTGTTAGGTTAGGTCAACTACCCTACTTTAAGAATAGACTAGTCCGACAGAAAACTAATCGATCTGTCTGTTGGATTATGCTACTTTGAAAGGAGGGTAGTATACCACCTGACCCAATAATGACTTCACGGTTCAGCTAACAAGCAAGCTAACCAAAGTTATTAACTTTCCCTACACACTAAATGGAATCTGCTGTAACCCCGACCCATTCTTTATGTGCCTGTCCAAAGTCAGGAGCCTGTAGTTCAGTGGTTGTCGTTGGTTCATGTCTGTCATATTTATTTCTCTTAAATTGTTTTGTTATAAATTAGGCAGTTAGTTTTCTCAATTGAATTGTTTCATATTTTTCATGTCGGGTCTTTTTATAGCCAACCACACAGTTATGGTTTTTCTCATTGTCGAAGGCCGCACGGTTGCCTATAATTGCTTACATCCACCTCATTTGGACTTTCTTGGATTGTTGTCTCATTGGCAATCATACCACATCTCCTTATTTTTATATGTATATCAATTTTTGTTAAAATCTCAGCACTACTAATTTGTCTTTGGTATGTCTTCAA